TGCCGGAGCACGGCCCTGGCAGCAGCTACCTGGTGTCGATTCAGGGACTGACGGCTGCCGGGGCCGGGGCTGCGTCGCTGTGGGAGTTTCAGAGCACAGGTAGGGCTCGCTGTGCCCCTGTCCGAGGAGCCTGGCCACACAGGAGCTGTGCTCTGCAGCCTGCACTGCCCGAGCCTGCCCCTGCTGAGCTGATGCTCATCTGCTCTTGCCCTCCAGACAACCAGCACCCTCTGGGCATCAGCTGCCGCAGCGTCTCTGACATCTCCCCATCCCAAGGGACGGCCGTGCTTCCCCTCCAACCCATCACCTCGGAGGGGGCCGGGTGAGTGCAGCCCCCGCACTTCTGCCACCTCCACATGGGTCTCCCCACCGGCAGCGCTTGCCTGCAGATGCCCCTGCTCCACTCTCCCTGCTGTCCCCCCGCCCCTCTCACTTTCCGCCCTGCAGGGAGCACCAGCTGGTCGTGGCCATGACACACAACAGCTCAGGGATTGAAAGCGCCTGCTTGGGGCAGCCACAGCCCTTCAGTGCCAGCCAGCAGCCCTTCAACACCACCCAGCAGCCCTTCAACACCACCCAGCAGCCCAGAACCTACGTGGCCGCTGTGCTCAACCTCACCGCCCCCATGGACTTCGTTTTGGGCAACGGCACCTGGGGGCAGGGCTACCACAACGCTGCCCTGCGCCCCGGCTGGGACTACACGGCCCTTCTGCGCCTCGTCCGCCGCTCACCGCAGGTACCCAGCGTGGGGCCTCCTGGTGTCTGGGGACACTGCTGGCCAGGGCTGGGCCCCTGGGTGGGTCTGGTCTGGCTGTGATGGCAGGCTCCTCTCCCGTGCCCTGGCAGGACAGTGTCTCTGGGGTCCTCTCTCACATGAGTGGGAGACCTTTGCCCCCCAGGATGGATAGTGGGGCAGAAGTGGCTTCAACTCTCTCTCCTATCTCCTCCAACAGTCAGAGAAGTTCACCTGTGTCTGCTACAGCTTCTCTGTTGGTAAGTGTCTCTTTGCTTCTGGTGCCCGAGCTTCTCTCCCACATTTCCTTGGCTGGTTCCTGTGGAGAGGAGCTGGCCCAGTGCAGGAGCCTTTGGGTCTCATGCGGGACAGAGGACACTTTTTTTCCCTACACACGGGGTGATCCTCCATCACAGAAGAAACCTAAGACAAGACACACATCTACACCCTTTGCCAGCATTGAGGCCATGGCCAGCATGAGGCCCAGACTGTGACACCCACTCCTGGCTGTGTGTTAGTTGCAGGGCAGGCTCCGGGCATGTGGCATTGGACTGTGATTGGGCTGGTTGTGCTGTTGGCACTCCTCCTCCTGACTGCAGTGATCCTGTGGCTCGTGTTCTCCAGGTGAGTAGGCAGGAGACAGGTTCAGCAGGGACATGGGCAATGCCAGCCTCTTACCCAGGACTCCTCTCTGCCTTTCCAGGAAAAAGAAGTATGTGCCCAACAAAGCTAAGGAGGATAACTAAAAAGGTAGGAAAATGCAGTTTCACAGACAACCATCACAAAGGCGGCTACACAGCTATGTGTTAGCTGGGGTGAGAGCAGAGATCTCCCAGGAGAACCTGAGCTTCAGGAGAATCATCTGCTCATACTCTGCACTGACACGTCTCCCCATTTGCTCTAGCTGAGGATGGTCAGGATGGTTCTGCCCACTAAGCCCCACATGACAGGCAGTGCTCCCAGCCTGGAGCAGGGACAGGAGTGAGCAAAGACGGGAATCCCAAAGAGTGGCTCATGGCTCAGTCCTTCAGGGGACCCATGTCTATGCCACCCCTCCCAGGGAAGAGATCTGCAGGGAATGGTCTCGGGAGGGTCAGGCTGAGAGACTGCTTCTCTCACCAGGGCAGTGACAGGCACCTCAGAGGACCTAAGGTTGGGCATAGCTGGGATGAAAGGGTTGGGCTGTGGCAGATAATGCCCTATGCTCCAGCCTGTCTCTGACATTGTTCTCCACAGGTAAAGGTGGCTAGGCTAGAGATCAGTCACTCCAGCCGCTGGCCAGGACCATGGAGACATTCAGAGCAGAGAAGGAGTGGAGAAAATGAGAAGGATGACCCCAGCTCAGTGCTGATGGCTGCTGTGTCCCCTCGGTCTCCTGTGACTGTGACAGCGTGGGAGTCAAATTCAATTCATCTAATTTAGCAGGGCAAGATGAAAACAGGAGACAAAGGAGGATTGTGAGCTTTTTCTTTCCTCAGCACCTTCACCTCCCAGCTTTTGCTTACTGCTTTTTTAAGGCCTTTGAATTTGACTTTCTGCAGTTCCTTTTTTCAGGTTTGCTTTCATTTTTGCTTTCCTGGAAGCAGGATTTGTATTTCAGATTTCCTAATCCCAGACTCACACAGGCTCAGGCTGATGGCATTCTCCTGCCATGCCCTGGGTTCCCAACTCTTCTCCTCCATCTCTGCTGATATTCAGCCAAACCCAGGGATTTTCTGGAACTTGGCCTGACTGGACTGCTTTGTGACTCTGCCTGCTCTGTCTGAATAACCAATAAAGGCTTGTGTTTTGAAGGGGTTGCCTGTCCCACTACAGCTCCTGCCTGGTCCCCTCATTGCCCCTCTAGGGTCACGTCTCCCTGCAGGGAGCTAACTGCACCTTGTTGAGGGGAGGGCTGCTGTGACCCCATATTCCCTAGTGGTGCTTGACAGCCTCCAGGGCTGTTCTGGACAGCTCTCACATGAGTTTACATCAGATGTCTGGTGGGAATCCATGAAGGATGATGTCCCTCAACACACATTTTGGGCAGGAGTGTGTTCTGTGCACATGCTGTGGCCAGAGCTGAGGGACCTGTGTGGTCTCAGTTTCTTTGAGGGCCTTGTGCTGGGTCAAACCTGGAAGAAAAGTGAAGACCAGAGGTTACCACCACCGTGGCTGTTACAGGGTCTTTACTGGTGAGACACAGGACAGAGAGCCACAGCCAGTCAGGACCCGGGGTCAGTCCTGGCTCTGAGGTCTCTTGCCCTTACACAGCAAAGGCAGAACCAGTCTCCATGATGCAGCAGCAGCCCCTGCTGGAATCACATCCAGGATATCCAAGTTAAGCCACTATAACTTGGGATTGTCATAGCGAAGTCAGGCTGATGAAGGAGCCCCTCTGGAGCTGGCAGGGTTGTGGCACTTGGATCAGTACCTGGAAAATGGATTTCCAGAAAGATTGTGTGGGTTGGAAGGACCTATTTAGCCCTACAGGACCATGGCTTGCCCCATTCTTGGCTCTTGTTGGCCTTGGACTTCATGTTTCTCCCAAAGTAGGACAGATAGCTTGTGCTCCTGAGCACCACAGATCTTACAGTAGTTTGGTGCTTTCCTGGCAAAACACAGATGTTGGTGCTACCCCACCTCCCCTGGGGTTGCCTGAAGGGACAAGAGAGCCTAGATGGGATAGCTGTTCTCTTCATCCCTAGGAAGGAAGAGTATGTCAAGTCCTGGTGCCCGTGCTCTGGCGTGCATACTCAGGCTGTGATTCCAGATAAGATACTGCACAAATACTGGGCAAAGGGTCAGCTTCCTACTTCAAAGCCTGACCACAATTTGGAGACAGTCCAGCCTGTGCTCTCCAGCCACAGAAGACCCTTGCTGTGGCTTTTCAGGGGAGTAAATCATCTTGGGGCTGTGCACATCCCTTTTGTTTCCTCTTGTTTTCATTGTTACTGATGAAGGTCTGCCAAGAGAGTCAAAGTCCTGTCCAGAGATGGACTGTGGTCACGTCTCTACTTGAAATTCCCATAGGTTTCAAATGAATTCAAGTAACTGAGGGCCAGTTCATAGCAGAGCCCATACTGCTCCTGTGGAAAGAGGGATGGACATGAGTGTCTGGTAGATCAACACCTGCAGTGGAATGTGAGCATTGGTTTCCAACAGCTTCCTGACCATGCCAGGCATAGGTACAGCCTGCTCTCCTCCTCTCAGCTGGAGCCCACCTTCCCCTGCTGAGAAATCACAGGCACGTGCTCCAGTAGCTGGAGGGCTGGGATACCCCAGTGCTGGAGCCAACTGGCCTCAAGAGGAAAGCAAGCCTCCAGGGCACAAAGTGTCTGCTGATCAATCCCATCTGGGTTGCTCACCCTGTGATGACCTCTAGCACCCAGACCAGGTGGTGAAGTGGGTGCAGGACAGGTACCTGAACACCCACCAGTGCAGCCTCCTGCTGAGCAGGCCAGGTGGACCAGAAAGGGGCTGCTCACCATGCAGGATGCTGTGGTGCCCATTTGGTCCTGTAAAACCTACCCCTGAGTGAGTGGGTATGTCCCAGAGGCAGAAAATGAGGGTTTTCAGAGATCTCGTCTGCTCCTGCTGGCCCCAGGATGATCTGAGCACAGAGGGGCCAGGGCAGCTGCTGGGTCAGTCCAGGATATGTTTGGGTTTGGTGTTGCAATCCCAGTTGGGTTTGAAGTGAGCACTTACCACATCTTTGATGAGCTGTCTCCGCCGCCTCTTCAGCGTCCTCACGGCCTGTGATACATCCACCATCCCCTCACTTTGGATCTGCTCACACAGGAAACTAGCAGCACAGAAGATCCCACTTCGGCTGGCTCCATCCCTGCAGAGGACAGAAAGGGGAGAGTCACTTGCTCTGGGATCGCCTGGCATGGCTGAACCTCAGAGGCATCCCACTAGACATCCAGGCTCTCAGGGTGATCTTGTCCACAGATCCTGCAGCCAGCCAGCCTCCACAGGGAAGTCTCCCTCTCTGAACATAGATGAATTCATGTCCATACATCCACCCGAGATGGAGCTGTGACCAAGTTCACTGACAGAGCCTGGGCTGTGTCCAGCTTTGTACCATGGCTGCTCCTCCAAGAGACATCACTCACCAGCAGGTGACGAGGATATGTCCACCTTGGCTCTGCCGATGGTGTGTCTCCACTTTCCCTAGCAAGCTGATGATGGTGGCAGGGTGCGGGGGAAGACGCTCCTGCATAGGCCAGTCCTTCAGTTGCCATAACTGGACTTCCAGTGCTGACTTTTTGGGCTAGTGGGGAAGAAAGACAGTGGGTTGGGCAGAAGAGAAACCTATTGTCTTCACGGAGTGAAGGGATGGACAGTGTGTGTCAGTACTGGCTCAGCCATGCACACTGGATCAAGGGAGCAGCTCCACAGTGGGACAGCCCAGTCCCAGACTTTGCCCTTCTCCATTGAGTGCTCTGAGACCAGCAAATAGACAGAGCATCAGAGGAGAGCTGAGCACACCAGGTGCAGCTCAGACTGGCACCAGTCCAGTGCCCAGCTACCTGCAACAGCTGTCCCCTCCTATGAACCCCCAAGACGTAAGAACTCCATCCATAGCTGCTGCCCTCCAAGTTGGAAAGGCACACAAAGGTACCTCTGACTTGTACCTCTGCCTGCAGCCTTACCTTCTTGGGATTAACCTCTCTCCCAAGGCAAAAGACCCTGCTCTGGCCAGTGCCCTTCCAGGACCCCACCAGATCCCTCTGACCAATGTGGTCTCTGCCACCTCTAGCTGTGACTTCGGCCCCAAATTAAAAAGGTTGTTCTCAAAAGACTTTGCCATCTTTGAGCACAGACCCCACCTGCTGCCTGTTGGTGAGGGCAAGTGTCCAGGCTGTGAAGCCAGCTCCAGGCTCCTCTGAGACCAGTTGGACATGGAAACGGCCATAGTCATCTTCGCCCTGGGTGGGCCAGAACTCCACGTATGTCTGGGGGGGTGACACGTGCATGATCACACACAGCCCCAACCTGCAGGTGTGGCAGCGCTTGGCACCTCCCATGGGTGGGATCACACCACTCCCTTATCTCAGAGCCATGTACACGTGGCTCTGTCAAACATTTTCTGGGGACTAAGCCAGTGCTTCAGCCAGAAAAATCACACTCCAGCAGAGAGGACACCTGAGGGATGCTCCCTTGCCGTGAGACTGAGGACAGTCCACTACTGTGGTGCCGTGATGCTGGACTGTCTCAGGGCTCTCCCAGGTGGAGCCCACAAGCTTGCAGGGCTCTCATGGTAAGAGTTGTGCAGGGTCAAAGGCAGAAATACCCCTGCTCAGCCCCACGGGGAACCACGGGAGGGGAGAGTTGTGCTAGGGCTGCTCACCTTGTCCAGCTCCTGGAGCTGATTCAGCACAACCACTGATGTGCAAGTGTAATCCCAGACCAGAGCCCAGAAATCCACCAGCGTGGTGGGGAAAGGCAGCTGGGTGATGACGATTCTATCCTCCTCGGTGTATGTCTGCAAAACACGCCACTGTGCCTGGAGGTGGGCAAACTCACACAATCCACCTTCCCGACAGCCCTTCCGACAGTTGGAACGCCCCACTGCCTCCCTGCAGAGATGGAGGAAACACAGTACACCCCGGGCCTGCTCAGAGCAGCTCAGGTTTGCCCCCCGCCGCCCCCCCCGGGTCATCACACTCGGGCTCGGCCCGCAGCAGGCTGTGTCCAGCGGCTGTGCGGCGGCTGCGGAGCTGCCCGCGCAGGCAGAGCTCAGCCGAGCGCGGGGGCCACCTCCTGGCAGCAGGGCCAGCAGTCACCGTGAAGGAGCCCGAGGGCTGGGACACCTCACACCGGGGTGACACGCTCTACCCTTGCCTTCAGCAAGGGTGCGTGGGGGGTGGAGGTGTTTCTGCTGCTGCCATCAGCTCTCGCCCCCCCCCGCTGGGACTGGAGCCTTACGCTGGCAAACACGGCGTTGATGTAACCTGGGGAGCCGTCTGCGTTCAGCGAGGACATCAGGATGGGCCGGCAGGAATCCGCTGAGGAGGCAAGGGACAGAGAGAGGGTCATCCTCTCCCTGCAGAGAGGCAGGGGGCTTTTTCTGCAAGTGATGTGGTCAACGTGGCTTCCTGCAGCATGGGCTGGAGGGGCTTGAATGAACAGGCACCACCAGCCTTGGGGCCCTGACAGCTCAAGGACCCCTGACATAAGATGTCCAAAATCTCCTGCACAGAGGCACAGCAGTTCCACTCTCCTCTTTGCTCCCTGATGCTTCATCTGAGCTACTCCACCGAGAAAGATTAGAACAGGGACATGTTTATCCCAGGTGTATCCGAGGTGTACCCCAGGTGTACCAGCCCAATCTGTATTTATTACTAACCAGAAAATGATGACTAGACCTTGAGCAGAATCTGCCAGTGGCATGGTGCTGGGGAGGGAAGCAGCAGGGGAGCATCGTTCAACCCATGCTGCTTTCAGGCACTGGGTTTTAGAGCAAGGGGCTGCCCAGCCCTGCCAGTGTTACCTGGCAGGATCCCTGGCTTGCGGTTCTTGGGCTGGTTGCTGGGTTTCTCTGCTTCTCTGCATGGCAGGAGCTGGAACAACTCAGAAAACTTCTGCAAGGCCTGTAGAGATGATTCAGCCAAGTAAGTCATGCCGGCCAGCGCCTCCCCTTCTTCGGCCACCCCTTCTTCGGCCACCCCAGAGAAACACTCTCCCATGTCCATCCCACAGCTGGGGAGGGGAGCGGTGAGGGGGGTGGCATCACAGACCAGCCCTCACAGCACCAGTGCACCATATCCTGGTGGTACCTTGAACTCCTTGTCAAGGACACTGTTGGGCCTTGAAGTCTGAGCTTCTCGAAGAGAGTGGACAAGGGTGGCGATGCTCTCCACAGGGACCCCGGTGTTGCCGCAGAGCAAGCCTTCGAGCAGCGCTTCATACAGGAAGGTGTACTGCTCCTGCATGAGGACACGGGTCAGCTGTGCAGTCTGGAGCAGCTCCAGGAGGAAGCCTGGAACTCCAGACCTCCACTGGCATCAACTTGTGCCAGGAATGAGCCAGGTTCATCTTCACTTTCTTTCTATGGAGCCCTGAGGCCAGACAGCTATCAGTGTAGGCAGCCCTGCTTTGAGACACAGCCAGCAACTCCAGCAACCCAGAAAAGACTGTCTTCCTATGCTTTAATGCTCCCTCTCAGACCAGATCCCTCCTCTGGGGGAGGAAACACGGAAAACCTGTGGACTAGTTAGTCCTCCTACAATGAGCTGGCTGGTCTAGCCCAACCATGCTTTCTCCAAAGGGACCCAGCACTGAACAGACTATAGTAGTAGTCCCTAGGCCAGGACACTGCTGCTCAGGAGATGCCACAAGGGCAGACATCTTGAAAGTCTGAACAAATGGACTCTTGTTCATGATCCTTGCATACAAGACAGCCCTTCTATATGAGGATGATATATATCAGTGTACAAATGCTGCTGAGACCTCAGAGGGTCTGACTCTGGGGGACATGGATCCCAACTGGGTTTGGACACAGTATTGAAAATAAGATCCTGTGGTCTCCATCAGCTGGCAGCTCCAGTCCCTGTGGCTAGACCATGAACTGCATGGCCGATGTGGCTTTGCACACCACATCCCTGGGAAGGGTGGGAACTAGATCTGCAGCCCGAGGTGTACAGGGAGCAAGTAACTCTCCTCACCTTGGTCTGCACCATGCTGACTCGCTGCTCCCGCAGCTGCTGCACGCAGCGAAACACATCCACCTTCCCCTCAGCCTTCCCCATCTTCAAGAGGAAGTCCAGGGCAATGAAGGTACCTGTGCGCCCGATCCCTGCACTGAGGACACAGAAAATTGAGTTTCAGTGCTGCCTCTGCCAGCTATGCCCCAGCACCCAAGCCCTCCCAGCCCAGTACCTGCAGTGCACCAACACAGGCCCAGCAGGTGCTTCCAACACCCTCTTGTTCACCACTGCCACTAAGCACAGGAGCTGGGAGGTGTTTCTGGGGACTCCGTGGTCTGGCCACAGCAGGTAGTGAAACTGCTCCACCACTCTTGGGAGAGCACAGCCTGCCTGCAAAGAGGGAGACATGGCTGGCAACAGGGAGCAGGAATCAACCAGGAAATTGTGTGAAGTGACTGCATGACAACAAGTAGGGAGCAGTGGAGAAAACCACTTCAGAGGGGCCACACAATTAATTTGTTCTCTGCTTTCACATGCTGTGAACGGTGAAGGTGGAGCAGCAAATGCAGCTTGTGGCCCAGAGGAAGAATATCAAAATCACAGTTTAGGTTGTTTCCATAGTCATTCAGAAGCCCTGGCTTCCACAGGAAAGATATTCCCTAAGGCTGGTACTGCACTAATATAAACAGTCACTTTTGTTACCAGCCCATCATGTATTTTGCCATAAATATCACAGTCACTTGTCCTGAACTAATGAACTGCTGTCCTTCCATCAGGAGGAGCTTTACCTCTCAGCTACGTTTTGCTCTGGGCAAGACAAGAAAAGACAGGAATATGCATAACTGCAATTTCTTTATATTTTACCCATTTCCCCCTCCTTGCAGCTCCTGCAGCTTCTGCTTTTTATCTGAGGTATAACTTCAGAAGTAGTATCCATCTTCAGAAATGTCCTTATGTAGTTTATCTTAAACCATAAACTAGCTGTTCAGGCTTAGTAGCTATAAGTGACCAAGGAGCTTCAGTGTAGACCCTCTGCAGATTGGTTCAGGTGACAGGCAGACACCTGTCTCACCATCCTGGATGTACAGAAATGCCATTTTATACCCTTTAACTGCTTTTATATCCTCTGTAATCACCTGATCCAAGCCCTCATGATCTGCCCATGAGCATCATCAGTCCAGACTCATCTGGGGTGACCACTGGAGCTGACCAATTGCTTTTGCTTGGCACAGAAACCTTGGGCTGATGCCCTAGCATGGAATCCAGTGGTAGCAGCACTGACCTTCTTGTGCTGGAGACCAGGCAGGATTTCCCACAATGTCCTTGACTGACAGCTCCCACCAGTTCTGAACCTCCAGAACATCCTGCATTCCCACCTCAGCTACATGCCAGGCTTACCTTCTGCAGGCTGAATGTGCGTGTGACAAGGCCTGTGGTGGCCCTGGTGTTGTTGAGTGTCACAGTAAAGTCCCCGTAGACCTCCTCCTGCTCTGGCCAGTACTTCTCACACTTGATCTGTCAACAGCAGCAAGACCTCTGAGCACCAGCAACCTCATGAGGGGAGTGCTGCAGTAGAGCAGAACTCTCTGCCCTCACTGACAGACGCACTGGGAGTGCAGCAAAAGCAGGTGGGGAAGTCTGGGCTGAAGTGGAGAATGGGCTGAGATGGTTTCTCTACCTTGTTTTGCTCCACTAAGCCTGTCAGCATCACAATGACCGAGGTCTTCTCCTGCCAGACCATCTGCCAGAAATCCACCACTGTCTCAGCCAAGGGGCCTTGGGAAGGAAGAGGAGAGCCACTGTCCAAGCTGTGGGGGTGTGCTCCCAGGCACAGCTCAGACATTCCCAGGCTTTCCTCTGCCCAGGGACAGAGGCACAGCCAGGGCACATCAGCACCTGGCAGGGTTGCTGGGCAAATTGGCTTCATCATCGTATTAGAAATTGGGACAAGGAGGAGGGTGAGCAGGTGAGCCCAGGATATGTCAGGGATTCACTGCTGCTTCAGGGGCTTCCCCATCCAGACCCTTAAGATGACCATGAACTGGTCCCACATTTAGGGTCCTATTTCCTGAAAGAAATTTCTGGAGCTTTGCAGGGATCCCAAGACCTCTTCCATGATGCATAGAGCAGACCAGCCCAGCCCAGCTTTGTACTGTTGGAAGGGGACTGTATCCAAGTGCACTGAGTGCAGACGTGTCAGGCATTTGCAGGATTGTCCCTGTCATGCCAGCTGCCAAAGGGAACAAACCAGATTTGTGGGTGGAAGGACCATATCGTCAGACTGGGCAGCACAGGCACCAGCTTTGGCTGCTGCCAAACTGCCCCTGAGGCCTTCCATGCCCTGCAGGACAGAGACCCTGGAGATACAGAGCCTTGGGCTGAGCCATTCACAGCTCCTAGGCTGCTGTCACAGTTCCCCATTCCCCAGATTGCTCAGCACAGCAACTGACATCTCCTGAGGATGAAGTCTGGGAGCACCCACCTTGAGCTGCAATGAAGAAGTGTGGACTTCCATAGCTCTGCAGGGGAGAGATTCAAACAGCTCCAATCACATGGGTTAAATATTTAACAGAGAATGAAGTAAAGAATCCATCCCCACAGACACCAAAGCCCAGAGCCCTCAGCACGGTGTGTCCCACAGCACCAGTCCTGGCCAGCACAGAGTGTGTGTACCAGGGGCTGCATCTCGGCTCCTGGCCCCTCACACAGGTCACTTTCTGTTAGAGATGAAGACTGCACACAAATCCAGAGTACTCCAGGCAGCTCAGAAAGGATGCAAGGAAAGTGACATCCCAAGACCTTCCAGCACTTGAGGGCAGCAAGTGTCAGACCTCAGGGCCACCCATATGAGCAGGACTGTCCTTACCCAGCATAACAAGGCACCTTTCCCACCCTTCCCAGGGCAGCAATTCCTTGCTACCTACATCCACATAGCTGGCATTGATGTAGTCATTCCCTGTACCAGAGGGCTGCAGCACCACACGGCAGTGATCATCTGGAAGAGAAGGGAGGTGGGCTGATGCTTTGGGGCAGCAACAAAGAGACTAAGGAGGAGTTTGTAATATAGGGAAGTCTGTGACTGTCCGCTGCCTCCTCAGCAGCACCCCAGGCCTCAGGACTCAGGGGTAAAGAACAGCTGATGAGACGAAAAGTGACATGGCACAGCAGGAAACCTAATGGAGTTTTAGGGAGGACTATTTATGGAAAAGCCAAATGTCCACACCATGTGGGGCCCAGAGGAGCTTTAAGGTTTGAAAGAAATTGGGTCACTCCTTCCACTTTCCCACAAATACCTGCCTCTGAACGGGACATGGCAGTGTTCAGCAATGACTAATGTCAGGAACAGGAATACAATGATGAATAATTAAGTTTGCAGGAGGATTTGAGGAGCAGAACAAGAATTCTGCAACTGAATACAAAACATTGGGGGCAGAAATCCCTCTGCATTTCAGTGGCCACAGAGTATGAGATGAGGACCTCAGTATTTCTGAAGAGCTGCAGGGCCACCAACACCAGCCCAGCACCCTCTTCTGCCCAAGCAGCTGCAAGTGCTTGTGCCAAACCTTGGAGAACTCTGCTTACATGGGATGATGCTCTTGTAGCGGTTCTTGCTCTGATTACATTGCTCCTTCCCAGCATTGCAGGGGTGCAACAAAGCAGAGGACAGTTGCTGCAGACAAAGAAGGCAAGCCCACTCAGCACTGGGATGTGTTCTGGGACTGGTCAAAGCCAACTGCATCACATGCCCAGGGAACAGGTGAGGGGAGTGTGGACAGTACTGCCAAGTGGGGAAGCAAAGCTAAACCAAACCTGATATTCTCTAAGATGCCCGACACCACGCCTGTCAACTGATTCATCATCTGTCTGCTCTGCCTCTATTTCTTCCCTCTTAAACCTCTTCAGAGCCTCCAGCAGTTCCTCCACTGGGATCTGTGTGTTCAGCTTGCAGGCACCTACAGAGACCACAAGGACAGGAGTTCCTCATCCACCTGATGCTAAACTGGCTGGCCCTGGAACTCTGCAGCTTGGGCTGAGCTCGCACTGTGATGGCCAGGAGTCCTGTACCATCTCCTGGGAGGTGTCCCTTCCCCCATGCCAGCCAGCTCTGATCCCCTTGCTCCTGTAAGGACTTTATGGAGCCTATGAGCACCCTGCTTTTGCTTTTAACAGACAGCCTGTCCAGATAAGGTGTGCAGGGCCTTTGTTCATACTTCACCTCCTCGACATCTTCTCAGCGGGATAGAGCTGTTGTTCTCTGAGGTTTTTGAACTGTTGTACTTTAGCCTGCAAAACAGCAAGTCAGACCAGCAGAACAGAGAGACAGAGGAGAGGCTGTTTCCCATCTAGCAGCTTTGTCTCCCACCCTGCTTTATCTCAAGGTCCACTTGGACACTCCCTGCCAGTGCAAGGCAGTGGACACCTCACAGAGGGCCAGAGGGGTGAAGCACATACTGACCTGAAGAGAATGAAGAACAGTAAGATTCCCAGTGCCAGGAGTGCAGCAACCAGCACTACTGTCAGAACCAGGGGCTTCCTGCCCAGCAGAGACACCGGCTCCTGCCCTGCAGGCAGCACAGCCCAAGCTCAGGCACCTGCACAGCCTGAACTAGGCATTAGGAGATCTTCTAGGGGCTTGGAAGGATAATCAGCTTCCCTCATCTCCCACCCTAGGCTTTGCATTGGAGAAAAGTTATGTTGGTGCAGAAGGAGGTTGCAGGATCTTGCTTGGTGTGATACCCTCTGTTGTGGATCCTGTCTCCTTGACTGCCCCAGTCATGGCAGTCACCAGAGCCTAGTGAGGTATTTGCCTTTAGGGGTTGCACATTCACCAGGGGAGCACCGGACTAGGATTAAATATGTGGTGATGGCAAGGATGATGTCCAGTGTCCAGCTACCACTGGTGCCACACCTGCCTAAGTGTCCTGAAGATGCCAAAAACCCGTCTACCACAGATAGCCTCAAAGCCCAGCGAACTTCTTTGAAGACTGAAATAGGACAACAATACCCCAACACTTCTGCACTGGACCAGCTCATTTCCAAAGAAGCAGCCAGGCTGGGAAAAGGGGATATGCAGGAGAAAGGTTCAGACACCGGAAGCAAAGAGACACTTACCAATAGAGAAGCTGTAGCAGACACAGGTGAACTTCTCTGACTGTTGGAGAAGACAGGGAAACAGCTCAGCCCACTCCTGCCCCACCATCCTTCCTGGGAGCAAAGGTCTCCCACCCACAACCACCAAGTGCCACAGCTGTGGCCAAGAACCCCACAGACACGACCCTGCCAAGGTGCCTGGGCTCTCATTGCAGGGCCAAGAGCTGACCCTGTGCAGCATTGTCTTTTCCATCACAGCCAGACCAGACCCACCCAGGGGCCCAGCCCTGGCCAGCAGTGTCCCCAGACACCAGGAGGCCCCACGCTGGGTACCTGCGGTGAGCGGCGGACGAGGCGCAGAAGGGCCGTGTAGTCCCAGCCGGGGCGCAGGGCAGCGTTGTGGTAGCCCTGCCCCCAGGTGCCGTTGCCCAAAACGAAGTCCATGGGGGCGGTGAGGTTGAGCACAGC